TTTTAATGATACTCTAATAATGTTTTAAGATCTTGCAGTTGTGGTTTCAATAAATACTTAGAGTTTAACTGAAAAAATTTAGGTTGAATTTTGGGTCGTTACAATTTGGTATCAGAGTCTTGGTTTAAGGGATTCAAGCATACTCTTGGGTGTGCTTGAACTCAAATTGAGGATTTGGTAAAATTGTCTAGAAGAAATAGATTTTATAAGAAATTTTTTAAAATAAAAATGGATGTGATGCGTGCAATCGGCCGAGATCAAGTAAGTATTTCCCAAAATACCCATTTGTGTTATATGATTGATGTTTAATGTGAGTATATGAGAATTCCATGCTAGATTAGTGCTAAGGAGCTGCTCAGTGTTGAATGGTAGGAAGCCTGATTAGGAGAGATCATTTACGCTTGTTGTGTGAGCTGGTAGTGATGCATGCTAGTGATCAGAGATCTTCAGGAGCTTCTAAGGTAGGAATGCCTATTTCTTTGATGCTTTTAGTGCTAAATGCTCGAATGTTGCTTGCGTTTTGCTTTGTAGGACTCATATTGATGTAAGTTAGCTATCTCATGAATATGTTAAGTTACATGCAGCGAGGGTTAAATAATCTTAGAGTGGTTGACTTGGTATTAGTACGCAACTCTTGTTGAGTCTAACCATTGTAAGGTTGAGTCTTTTAGTCGAAGGAATATATACGCCTTGTTGCATGTAATTGTATTCGTAAAGTCATTGACCAATAATGGTAAGGGTCCATTAGCAGCTGATGGCAAGGTGAGGAGGTAATCTTAGGAGAGCCTAGAAAGTGATTTAGTGTAAATGGTGTGCTGTTTAGCATATTTTGGGAGGGTATCATTATATGGAAGTGACCTAGAGGATTCGAATGATTATGTGGAAAGTACATATAGGTGTGGAAGGTAGTATTAGGCATGTGCTATTGGAAGCACTAGATCCGTACTCAAATAAAGGAAAGTCCCAAAAATTCTAAGGAACTATTTGAGGTCAGGAACATGGTTTGGCACTATGAACTGGTTGCGACATTTTGGGTATGATCAGCTTTTCAGTTATCGCTATACGGGAAGAAGATGTGTCAGGTGATTGTCTGGGCCTTAGTGGTCATGTCACTTGGGCTTGAATGGTGCAAACCTAGACGAGTAGTAGATTTTAAGGTGTTGAGGGCCCTACCTGAGGTAGTGTCAATCTGAGTCGTTGAACTCAATGACGGAGCGGTTAGGATGAGCAGCTTGAAGATTGTAGTCTTGAGATTGAGTGATCGGTCGATAGCTTATGATGACATTTTCTATGAAGAGGGTTTTATCCTTCCAATTTTTCATATGTGGAAAGAGAATCATTTTCATGGATATTTTACAATATGAGGATCGGGTATGCTTTCCTTGACTTCAATCAAAGCGTGTTATAAAAGGTTGTTCCGGATTATCAAGAAAAATGAATTGGGACCGACAACTTTTGTTGTGTATCGACGGTGAGGATGATCTTGTATGTTTCATGATTGTGTCTCGTGATGGAGTGAAGGCCACAGAATCAGGGGCGAAATTTGTTGTAGTCTAATTGTTCTTGGATAGAAAATCAAATATATGAATGGGATATTAGATTTATTTCTTGTGTATTTGCATGGGATTCTTGACGACAGAGGTTAGGCTTGGGAACTTTTTTAGGTCTCCATCTGAGATTCGAAATGTCTTTGAGTTGTTGGATCTTTATTTGGAATATTATCTTGCATTGTGTTATACACTCCAAGAGTCAGGGATGGTATGTATCTGGCTAAGTTGGTTTGAGTGGGGTTTGTCTAAAATGTCAGTTGGTGATAGTTCGAATCCAAGTGAGGGAGAACTAGGCATTCTATTTTGAAAAATCATCGATTTGTTGTAGTTTGAGGTTTGAAAAAAATGAGCTATAGGGATTTACGGTTCAAATATGCGAGGCTTTGCTTCAAGATGTGTCAAGACGGGATATAAACCAAGCTAACCTCTGTTTCACACCCCCGGTTCCGTTGCAAACGCCGAGGTATGTGACTTAAACCAGTAATCACACTTATTGAACATACGTTGAACAGTACAAATATAAATTTGATTAGGTGTTTAAGCCCATTACTATTATTGGTATACACTTGATCTATTAGTAGCATGGTCCTTTTGGGTTGCCTTCACCATAGCAACTTGATAGGATGACTTTTGGAGAAAGAGGTTTATAAATGATTTATTAATATATTATAAGAATAATATATTAATTGAGAAATCATATTATTTAATTAGTATTAATCAAAAATTAATTCGGAATTAATTTTGGCATTAAAGGAACTGATTAAAAAGAACGGGGGACTGATATTGCAAATCACTGATAGTTGCAATTAGGGATGATTGACTCCTTAAGGAAGGAGTGGACGAAATCTATGGGAAGCCCATAAAGATTTCATCCAATCCCTTTTAGAATGTATCCATGGATTGCTTAATGTGAGTCATTACTTCATGGCTTGTCATTTTACTATTGTGTCACATTTTGTAACCAGAGTCTTTTGTAGGGAGAGTGTGAGCTTGTGTGTAGATCTATACATGATTGACCATCCTACACCTTGCTACTAGATACAATGGGACTTGCAGGTCTACAGGTGACAAATGTCATACCATTTCGATTTCTTTGATACGTCGAATTTTATACTAGTCAATCAAGCATGGTTATAATCTCATCACATTTTACCTTAATTAAACAAATTGGTATTAAGGTAGTTAGCACTTCAGTAGTTACTATATAAAATACTACTACATATATTTATTTTTCCCATTACATTTATATAGTGATCTTCTTACATAAAAGGTAATGTAAACTATTTTCTGGTAATGATAGTCATATACTTGGGAAAAACACTCACTTTTACAAAAGAACAAACATACAGAACACTTAGCTCTTGGTAGAAGACTACTTTCTATTTTAGTAGAAAATATAGGATTTTCTAGGAATTATACAAACATTTACATTCAAACATTTACAAACATTTTCATCAAACTAATGAAAACTTTTAGACACTATAATACATATGAATTCATTAGCTTAAATGTTAGATCTACTATTTCAAAATAACTTGTATTCTCAAGTCACCAGTAGACAGGTATAGATTGTCAGGTTTTGAGAAGACGGAGCACTTTCAGACTCATTTTTTTATTTTGATATATATTTTTGGTGTCTTACAAATACATTCAGAACACACATATACAAATTATACTATTAATGCAACGGATGATGTTTTTGCTTGTTTTACTATTGTGCATTGTTATGATAAAGAAGATGACGTCCTCCACCCCCGAACGTTTCCGCTGTTCAGGTTTGGGGGTGTGATAGGATACCCTCTCATTAATTTGGATTTTAGGTGTCTAGTCTTAATTATTATCTTTTTTGCCATATATAATATCTATTGTATTAGTTTGGATGTGATTTATATATTTACATGTGATTTACATATAAATCATTTGTGATTCACATATAAATCATATATGAATAATATGTGATTCACATGTAAATAATAAGTGAATAACATATGAGTTACGTATATATACACACATTCATATGATAATTACATTTGATTTACATGTAAAACATTTGATTCACATGTAAATCACGTGTAAGTATCATGTGATTCACATGTGAATCATATATGATTTACATATGATTCACATGTGAATCATATATGATTTACATATGATTCACATGTGATTTACATATGATGTCATATGTAAATGTGATTCATATGTGAATCGCATATGACTAATATGTGAATCACATCTGATTCATATGTTAATCACATGACAATCATATATATATTTTTGTGAGTGTTTTTGTATTAATCATTTTTTTAAAAAATTTTCTTGTAGTTTTGGAGAAATTTTGGTGAATATTGAAGAGAATAAAATTTATAAATTGAAGAAAATAAGTAAATATTGATACGAATATATGAAAATGCTTTAAAATTTGTAGCATTTTTTTATTTCATATACTTTATTTTGTATCAAATAAAATATTTATACTATTATGTTGATAAATTAATTAATAAAAATGAGATTTTTTTATAATTACTTACGAATATTATACTATTTTTATTGATTTTTAAAAATATATTTTTTAAAACAAATGAAGTTTTTTTTTTTAAAAAAATTATAGTTTTTAAAAAAAGTTGCAGTTTTTTTTTGTAAAAAAAATGTGGTTTTTTATTTAAATATTGCAGTTTTTTTTTGAAAAAATTGAAATCTTTTAAAAAATTACATTTTTTTTACTTAAAAATGCATTTTTTTTTAAAATTGCAGTTTGTTTTGAAAAATATGCACTTTTTTTTTTTTTTGAAAAAGTGCAGTTTTTTTTTTTTTTTTTTTTTTTTTTTTTAAATTGTAGTTTTTTTTAAATTAAAGTTGGTTTTAAATACTACATTTCTTTTTATTTTTAAATTCTTTTAAAAAAAATTGCAGTTTTTAAATTTTTTTTTCAAAAGTTCATATTTGTATAAAAATATCTGAACTTCTTAAAAAAATTAAAAAATACTATTTTTTTTAAATTCAAAATTTTGATTTGTTATGTAATTTTTTAGACGTTTCAATAATAGAAAAAATTAAATATTAAATTAGATTGATAAAATTACGATCATTGCTTAATAGATTAATTTGA